CCTTTTCATGCAGAGGTGGTTGCTATGGATCTTGCGATTGAGGTGATATACGGTGTGTGAATGCATGTTTGACGTGAGCAAGTTTCACCAATTCCAATTTCACTCTTGTTTCCCAGGCAACCCGATGAGGGGCGCTCATACGCAACCAAAAAACTAAATGCTCGCGCAGCTGGAATGAGGCCACGCCCAGCTGCAACCAGGGCTAACTATAATAATAACAATAGGCGCAATTAGGGTAGGCCTGATTCAATAAAACATAACTGAATGCTCGGGCAGCTGGAATCAGGCCGGGCCTGGCTGCAACCAGGCCTTGCTAAGATGAGCAAGACTAAACTAGGTCTATCGAACATAGGCCCAGGTAAAATCGGCTTAGCTAAATGTTCGGGCAGCTGGAATCAAGCCCCCAGCTGCAACCAAGCCTAACTAACATATGCTTAACTAAAATATGTATAACTCTATAGGCCTAATTCAACATAGGCCTAACCGAAATAGGCCCAACGAAACTTGGCCTAACCAAATGCTCGGGCAGCTGGGACGTGGCCAGGCCTGGCTGCAACCCGGCCTTACTAACATGGGCGGAACGCAAATAGGTGTCACTACAATAAGCCTAACTAAAATAAGCCCAGCTGCAAGCCAGCCTGATTTGAATATGCCTAACTGGAATAGGTTTAACGAGCATGGGCCTAATTATTTCAGGCTTAACTATGATAAGCCTAGCTAAATGCTCGGGCAGCTGGGAACAAGCCATGCCAAGTTACAACCAGGCCTCACTAAAATGGGTCCAGCTACATTAAGTCTAACTAAAAAAAGCCTAACGATAATAGGCCTAACCGAATGTTCGGGCAGCTGGAATCAAGCCCGGCCCAGCTGCAGCCAGGCCGAGCTAAAGTAGGCCTAGCCAAAATGAGTCCCACGAGTAGAGGTCTAACCAGCATAGGCCTATCCAGATCAGGTTTAACTAAATAGGGCAAACAAAAATAGGCTTAAGTAAGACAGGCCTAAATGTTCGGGCAGCTGGGATCAGGCCAGGCCCTGCTGCAACCAGGCCTAACTAAAGTAAGCATTGCGAAAGTAGGTTTAATGAGAAGGGGCCCAGCCACACTAGGCCGAACCAAAGTAGACCGACTGACATGCCCCGGCAGCTGGCATCGAGCCAGGCCCAGCTGCAGCCAGGCCGAATTAGAATTTGCCTAACTTAAAAAAGGCCTGACGACAATAGGCCCAACTAATCAGACAGAACTAACAAGTCGTCCTGACTAGAATAGGCATAACTAGCTGCTCGGGCAGCTGGAATCAGGCAAGGCCCAGTTGCAACCAGGCCTAATTCACATCGGCCTAACTAAAGTATGCCCAAGTGAATCTGGCCTAACTAAATGCTCGTGCAGCTGGAATCATAGGCATAACTGAGATAGGTCTAACTAAACAAGGCCCAACAAAGGTAGGGCTAACGAAATGCTCGGGCAGCTGGGGCCAGGCCAGGCCACGCTGCAAACGGGCCTGACTAAAGTATGCCTAACTGAAGTTGGTCTAACTGACATAAGCCGGACTAGGCTCGGCCGAACCTAAGTATGCCGAGCTAGATGTTCGGGCAGCTGGGATCAGGCCAGGCCCAACTGCAAACAGGCCTCAGTAACATAGGCATAGGGAAATAGGTATGATACTAGACCAAGGGTAAATTGGCCTAACTAAATTTGTCCGAGCTACGTGCTCGGGCAGCTGTCATCAGACCAGGCCTTGCTGCAACCATGTCTATCTAATATAGGCCTCACCAGACTAAGAATATCTAAATTGGCTTAACTGAACCAGGGCCAGCTGACATTGGTGCATTTAAAATGGGGCCTAACGAAATGCTCGGGGAGCTGGATTCATGCCAGGCCCAGCTGCAACCAGGCCTAACTAAGATAGACATAAAACACAATAGGCCTAATTCAAAGAAAGGTCCAATCGTGATCGGCCTAACGAAATGCTCGGGCAGCTGCAGTCAGGCCAGGCCCAGCTGCGAACAGGCCCTTATTACAATATGCCTAACTAAATAAACCTAGCAAGGCTGAGCCGAAGCAAAACCTGCCTGACTAGATGTTCGGGCAGTTGGGACCAGGCCAGGCCTAGCTGCAAGCAGGCCTCTGCAATATATGCATACTTGAAATAGGTCGGGCTAGAACAGACATAACTAAAGTCGGCCCAACTCAATTAGGCCGAACTACATGCTCGGGCAGCTGGAATCAGGCCAGGCCTTGCTGCAACCATGCCTAACTAAAATAGGCCGACTAAGCTAAGTATTACTCAATAGACCTAGCTGAAACCCAGCCGACTAAAATAGGCTTAACACACAGGCCTAACGGAGTGCTCGGGAATCTGGAACCAGGCCAGGTCCAGCTGCAACCAGTCCTAACGCAAGTCGGCCTAGCTAAAATAGGTCTACCGAACATAAGCCTAACTAGATGCTCGGGCAGCTGAAACCAGGCTTAACTAACATAGGTCTTACTAAAATAGGCTTTATTGGACTAGGCCCAACTAACACACCTGACTAGCACAGGCCTAACTAATGCCTGGGCAGCTGGATGCAGGCCAGGCCAAGCTGCGAACGGGCCCAACTAAATAGGCGCAATTAAACTTGGCCTAACTAAGACGGGCCTAACGAAAACAAGCCGAAACATAATCCTGGGCAGCTGGAAGCAGGCTTGGCCCAGCTGCAACCCAGCCTAACTAAACTAAACCTCGCTGGAATAGGGCCAAACAACATAGGCCTAGCTAAACCAGGCTTAATTAAATGCTCGCGCAGCTGGCATCAGGCCAGGCACAGCTGCAATCATGCTCAGCTACAACAGGCTTAGTTGAAACAGGTCTAAGTAACATAGGCCTAATTAATTAGGCCTAACCAGATTTTCGGGCAGCTGGAATCAGGCCATGCCCAGCTGCAACCAGCCTAACTAGAGTAGGCCTCATCAAAACATGCTTAACTAGAATAGGCCTACCTAAACAAAAAAAAAAGGCCGAACCAAATGCACGCGCAGCTGGAATCAGGCCAGGCCCATCTGTAACCAGGCCTATCTAAGATAGGCTCTTTTGTTCCGAATAAGTATAGCTAGGTAGGCCTTACTGAAATAGGTCCAACTAAAATAGGTCTAACTACATTCGGTGTAACTGAGTGCTCGGGCAGCTGGACCAAGGACTCGCCCAGCTGCAACCAGACTTCACTAGCATGTGCCGAGCTGAAAACAAAGTCCTAATTTAAATAGGCCTAGCTGGAATAGGCGCAACTAAAATAGGCCAAACTAAAAAAGGCCTAAGCCAATGCTCGGACAGCTGGAATCAGGCCAGGCCTTGCTGCACCCAGTTCGAACTAAAATCGGCCGACCTAAAATAAGCCGAATCAAGATAGGCCTCATGATTTTAAAATATTAATATTAAAAGGCCTGATTAACATAGGCCTAACACAATTCTCGGGCAGCTGGAATCAGGCCTTGCCCAGATGCAACCACGCCTAACTAAAAGAGACAAATCTAAGATAGGTCTAACTAGCATAGGCTTAACGAAAATAGGTCACCACTGAAAATGGCTTAACTAAATGCCCGGGCAGCTGGAATCAGGGCAAGCCCAGCTGTAACCAGACCTAACTAAAGTAGGCCTAGCTCAAAGAGGTCGGACTAAACTATGACTAACCCAAATAGGCATAAGTGACACGGGCCCAACGAAAACAGGCCTAAGTAAATGCTCGGGCAGCTGGAAGCAGGCCAGGCCCAGCTGCTACCAGGCCCAGCTGACATAGGTTTACTTAAAATAATAAGTATACTTGAAATAGGCCGAATTGGAAGAGGCCCCACGAAAATGAGCTAAACGAAAATACGTCAAATTCAAATAGAGCCAGCAGCGCCGTTTGTCTGCAGCGCCTGTAACGCCGCAGGTGCTTGTTTTTATTTGGGTGCGCGGAAGGGGGGATGTCGATAGGTTTTTCGTTTCCGTCGGTTTTGATGCTCCGTCGGTAAATGGGGGGTCTGTGGTTTCGCCGGCGCTGGTTTCGCCCCGCTGGTTTCGCCGGCGGCTGGTTTCGCCGGCGGCTGGTTTCGCTGGCGCTGGTTTTGCCGGCGCTGGTTTCGCCGACGCCATCGTCGCCGTCGGGCGGGCGGGACATTAAAGTGTGGGGCGCGCTCCGCCGAACACGCGCGAACCCCAACGGGCGGGTCGGGTCGGGCGGCTCGGGTCGGGGCGGGCCGGCGGACCCTAAGAGGCGGGTCGCGGCGGGCGGGCGGGGCGTTAAATTAAAGTGCGGGGCGCGCTCCGCCGAGCACGCGCGAACCCTAACGGGCAGGTCGGGCCGGGCGGGCGGACCCTCGCTGGCGGGTCGGGTCGGGGCGGGCGGGCGGGCCCAAAGTGGCGGGCCGGGTCGGGCGGGCAGACCCAAGCGGGCGGGTCGGGCGGGGTCGAGCGGGCCGGTCGGGTCGGGCGGGCGGGACATGAAAGTGTGGGGCGCGCTCGACCGAGCACGGGCGAACCCTAACGGGCGGGTCGGGTCGGGCGGGCGGACCATAGCGGGCGGGTCGGGTCGGGTCGGGCGGGCGGGTCGGGTCGGGTCGGGCAGTTTCGCCGACGACAGTTGGGTTCGCCGACAGCATTTGGTTTCGCCGACTGCAGCTGGTTTCGCCGACGGAGCTGGTTTCGCCGAGGGCAGCTTGTTTTGCCGGGCGGCGAAACCAGCCGGGCGAAACCAGCCGTCGGTGAAACCAGCCGTCGCCCCACGGGGGCACGTACGTGCGGTAGGTTCGCGTTGTGTCGATTGGCGGCGACCCCGCCGCGGGCGTTTCACGTCGACCGCCGCCGGCGAGCCAGACTCGGTCGATATGAAACGATATTGAACGATTTGACGTCTCGGAAACGGCCGATTCTTCAGGGTTGGACGATCCCCACCTCCGTAGCCATGTGGGCTCAAGCCGTGAAGGCTCCCGCTGGGCAGCGAGAGTCCACGGCCCGCGAGCGGCCGTCGGCTTCGCGCTGGGCGCTTGATGTCGGCTGGAGACGCGCGGGAGCGGCTACTGGCTGAGCCGACCAGTCAGAGTCAGGGTTGCTGCTCTTTCGTGCGGCGGTGGACCCAGTGGCGCGATGGAGGCACCGACCGGGCCTGCTGGAAGCTTCTGTGCAGCGTCACACTAGTTGCCGAGATGGTCTACTACCTACACGTCGTGCGGCGAAGGGTCTCGGACGAGCAGCAGTTTGCTGCTCTTTGCTTCGTGGCAGTGACATTCAGTCTGAAAGCGCTGGTGGAGACCTGGGGTCAGGACACTCCGACTTGGATTTGCCCCGGCACCGTCGTCGTGTTCTTTATGATATACGCCCTCATCATTCCCGGTATCATCTACAGCGATGGTATTTGCACCCAGAATCCAGACATCCTGTTCGACTGCCGAAATGTTCTTGGGCTCGCGCTGTACATCTTCGGCTCCAGCTACTCCCTGTCCTACGAGGTCGGCCGCTTCGCCTGGAAGGCGCGGCCCGAGAACAGGGGCAAGCTGCACACGATCGGACTCGCGAGCCTGTGCATCCACCCGAATTACTTCGGTGACCTCTTCATCTACACGGGTTGGGGTCTCGTGACTGGGACTTCGTGCTCCTTGGGTGTCCCAGCCGCTATGGTAGCCAGCTTCGTATTCATCGTGATCCCGAACTCGGATTCATATCTCGCGAGCCGCTACGAATCTGAGTGGCCGGCGTATGCTGAGAAGACAGCCATTCTGCTACCCGGCGTTCGATCAGCGGCTGCGAACAAGGTCCTCGGCATCGCTTGCCTATTGGTGTCTTTCTGGCTGAGCGCAGCATGTGCCGGGCAGTGCGGCTGAGAGCGCAGCAGGCGCCTGACGATTCTGCCAGTTGGCAGCCGACTTCTGTCTTTGTGGTTCTGTGATTCGCCGCAGACTACATACGCCCAGTGAGTCATATAGGGAATAGGGTGGTGGACCCTCGTCTTGGGAGCAGAGCCAGGCCCCAAAAGCTTGTTTCCTGAAGTGTATTGCTCGTGCGGCAAGCCCTTCCGAGACAGGCCATGGTTCAGAAGTTCTCCGAATTAGGTCGCCCCACGGGGGCACGTACGTGCGGTAGGTTCGCGTCGTGTCGATTGGCGGCGACCCCGCCGCCGGCGTTTCACGTCGACCGCCGCCGGCGAGCCGGAATCGGTCGATATGCAACGATATTGAACGATTTGACGTCTCGGAAACGGCCGATTCTTCAGGGTTGGACGATCCCCGCCGTCCCGACGCGAACCCGCCGCAGATCGCCGCGCAGCAGGCCTCCAGCCCGGGCCAGGGTCGCCGCCCCATCTGCAGTGGGCCGCGCGAGAGCGCGAGGATGGCTGCGCGGGCGCGCGGCCCGAGGCGCGAGACCGAGCCGTCTGATTGGCGCCTGCGGTCTGCGGCACAGCCCTGCGCTTGCACGAAACACCCGCCGTCGTTGTTCGATCGCTTCCTCCAGGGGAGCGCAGAATGGCATAACACATACAACCTCAGAGGTCCGCGCGGATTTCTCGCATCCGCGTTGGACCCCCCTCCCTGGCGCGCGGAGCGCGCCAGGGGCGGCGCTGGAGGCACCGCTAGGGGGCCCCAGCGCCGAAGCGAGAAATCCGCACGGACCTCCAAGTTTTTATGCTTATGTCATTATTCCTTCCCCTATTTACGAAGCACCCCCGTCACTCACCGAGCGCGTTCCACGACTCGCAAAGTGCCTACTCGCAAACGTCAGAAAAAAAACATGTCTGCATCGACGTAATGAATGGTAAATTCCCCATGCCGGATCCAGGCCATTTGCCCAGGCCATTTGCGAGTAGTTATTTTGCGAGTAGTGGAACGGGCTTGTGCCTAGTCACTGTTCGATCGCTTCCTCGTGGGCGCGTGTGCCAGGGGGCTTCGCCTGCAGAGGCGTTTTTGCTCTTGGAGTTGCCCTTCTGCCCTCTGCACTTCGACATGCCTGCACGCTCTCTCCCTGGCGGGCCTGGCATCCTCGATAGCAACAGAACCTCATATCACATCGAAGACGTGGCCTAACTTGGGCCCCCGTGCTTGTATGAGGGATTATGCTTCTGAGCGGCTTGGTTTGACACATCTGCAGAAGAGAAGACTCCATGCCCCTGATGTTCTGGGCCTCGCAACTCAGGTCCGCTCCCACACGGTTAGGGGCACTTGTATTGCTTACTTCTGGACCTCCAAGATGGGGTCGGAGTAGATGGGGTCGGAGGATCTCACCGCATCGCCGATGTATCGGCGATGCGGCTCGATGTGGGGCCCGATTTTCTCCACGCCACCGTCTCGGTACCGCCGACGTCGACCATGCATCGCCAGCGCATCGCCGATGTATCGCCGATGCGTAGGCGATGTATCGGCGATGCGGCGCGATCCTCCGACCCCGTCCACTCCGACCCCATCTGGGAGGCCTCTCTTGCTCACCACGACAGGGGGCACCTGCACGCCGCCACCACGCCTCGCCAGGGCCGCCCCGGGGTCGGCCCCTGGAGGTCGCGCGCACCGCGCCCTGGGCGACCAGGGCGGCCCAGGCCGTCACGGCGGTGCTGTGTGGAGGCGCCCTTCGGGCGGGGCTAGGGCTAATGCCAAAAAATCAGACGAAATTCCCCTGTAGGAGGACATGCCCGACCAATGGCTAGGGCGAGGATAAATCCGTTCCAGGGCTTTCCGGAACGCTCTCAGAGCGCTCTGGCACGCTCTGAGAAGGCCGCGGCGCCCGAGACATCTTCCAGAGCCGCTTGAGATCAGCGATTCTGGATTCATCCTCACCCGAGTATATCCCCATCTTGGCCTCGTCTTGCAGGGTCCGGCACGGCGGTACTGTACGGAGGCATCCTCCAAAGAAGAAGAACTGCATAAACTTAAGCTTTTGGCGCTCCGCGCGGATTTCTTGGATCCGCGCTGCCCCCCCCCGGCGGCGCCTCTGGCGCGCTGCTCTTGGCGCGCTCCGCGCGCCAGGGGCGGGGGGTCCAGCGCAGATCCAAGAAATCCACGCGGAGCGCCAAAAGTGTATGTTTGTGGCGTTGTTTCTCTTTCTCCTTCTTCTTCTTCTTCTTCTTCTTATTATTTTTTTTCTTCTTCTTCTATCTTTAAGTCGGGAATGTCCCCCTGCAGGCGGGTTTTGGGCGACTTGTCCTTAACCAAGAAAAGTTAAAACATATGGAAACTATCCAAACAATAACATACAAATCGTCCGCACATATTTTGCCAATGTTTCAACATTCCGCCTGCAGAGGGACACGCCCGACTTAATTATATCCTCCCATTGCCGCTCGAGCACCCCGCGAGCTGGGCCGCGCCGAGGCGCACGGCGAGGAGCAGGCCAGGCGCCTCGCCGCCAGCGAGGAGGCGGGCGAGCTCGCGGGGCGCCGCGCAGCGCGGGAGGAGGAGCTCGCGAGGCCCCGCGCCGCCGCCCAGGGCCTCCTCCGCCTCTTCCGCCTCCCCCTCCTCCTGTTCCGCCCCCTGTTCTGCCTCCTCCTCCTCCTCCTCCTCTTTCTCCTCCTCCTCCTCCTCCTCCTCCTCCTCCTCCTCCTCCTCCTCTTCTTCCTCCTCCTCCCCTCCTCCTCCTCCTCCTCCTCCGCCTCCCCCCCTCCTCCTCCCTCCTCCTCCTCCTCGTCCTCCCCTTTCTCCTCCTCGTCCTCGTCCTCCTCTCCTCCTCCTCTCCTCCTCCTCCTCATCATCATCAGCATCATCATCATCATCATCAGCATCATCCCTCCTCGTCCTCCTCCTTCTCCTCCTCCTCCTCCTCGTCCTCCTCCTCTTCTTCTTCTTCCTCCTCCTTCCCCCTCCTCCTCTTCCTCCTCCTCCTCATCATCCTCCTTCTCCTCCTCCTCTTGTTCCTCCTCCTCCTCCTCCTCCTCCTTCTCCTCCTCCTCCTCCTCCTCCTCCTCCCCTCCTCCTCCCCTCCTCCTCCCCCTCCTCCTCCTCCTCCTCCTCCTCATCCTCCTCGTCCTCCTCCTTTCTCCTCCTCGTCCTTCTCCTCCTCCTCCTCCTCCTCCTCCTCATCATCATCATCATCATCAGCATCATCATCTCCCCCTCTCGTCCTCCTCCTTCTCTCCTCCTCTCCTCCTCCTCCTCGTCCTCCTCCTCCTTCTTCCTCCTCCTTCCTCCCCCTCCTCTCCTCCTCCTCCTCCCTCCTCCTCCTCCTCTCCTCCTCCTCCTCCTTCCCCCTCCTCCCCTCCTCTCCTCCTCCTCCTCTCCTCCTCCTCCTCTCCTCCTCGTCCTCGTCCTCCTCCTCCTCCTCCCTCCTCTCCTCCTCCTCCTCCTCCTCCGCCTCCTCCTCCCCCTCCTCCTCCTCCTCCTCCTCTTCTTCCTCCTCCTCCTCCCCCCCCCTCCTCCTCCTCCTCCTCCTCCTCCTCCTCCTCCTCCTCCTCCTCCTCCTCCTCCTCCTCCTCCTCATCCTCCTCGTCCTCCACCTCCTCCTCCTCGCCCGTAGCCATTTTGGCTCAAGACGGGAACTCCTCCCCGTCCCGACTCCCGAGGCCCGAGGTCGAGGCGGAAGGGCAGACCCTTCCCCAGGCCTGGCGGCCTCGACCAGCCGCGGGCCTTCGGTAGAGCTTCCGTATGGGGCCACGCAACGTGTGAGTGGTGTGCCGACATGGGTGGCGCGGACGCATCTGCGTCCACGAAACGTGCGAGAGGTGCGCCGACATGTGTGGCTCGGGCACATGCGTCTGCGCCGCTGATGCTTCGGTGGGCCCCTTACGAGATCATGAAACGTGTGAGGGATGTGCCGAAATTGGTGGCGCGGACGCATGCAGGCTGCGCCGCTGGGACATGCGATGAAGTTCTTTGTGAGGCCACGAAGCGTTTGAGTTGTGTGCCGAAATGGGCGGCGCGGACGCATTCGGGCTACGCCTTTGAAACTTTCGTTGAAGCCCCCTACGGGGGTTACGAAATGAGTGGCGCGGACGCATGCGGCTGCGCCGCTGAGATCTCTCGGAGGAGCTCGGAAAGGGGCCACGGAACGTGTGAGGGGTGTGCCGAAAAGGGTGGCGCGGACGCATGCGGGCTGCGCCGCTGGGCGCTTCGGTGGAGCTCCCTACGGGACCATGAAACGTTTGAGGGATGGCTGAAATTGGTGGCGCGGACGCATGCGGGTTGCGCCGTTGAAATCTTCGGCGGAGCTCCTCATGGGGCCACGAAGCGTGTGAGGGGTGTGCCGAAATCATCATGATGTTGATGATAATGTTTCGGTGCCTCTTGGTAGGTTAGGGCAGTGTTGGGGGCTGGGGCGTGAAGAGTCCGCGGTTCATGTCCTTGCCCCAGGCTTTGTTGATTGACCAATGGCGAGATGTGAAGAATTCCGATCCCTCTCCTCGCTGAGTCCCGCCTGGCCCAGACACGTCAGGCCAAAGTCCCTGGGCAATTTGAGAGGCCCGTGATCATGTTCCTGGAAGCGCTCCTGGGAACATGATTTGGGAGGCCCATGATCATGTTCTTGCAAGCCCTCCCGGGAACATGATGCATTGTGCGTGGACTGGGGGCGGGGGCGGGTTGGGACAGTTTGCGCCCCGCGAGCCGCCCTCAGGCCGGTTGTGTTTTCGCCCCAGCCCCTCATCCGCATTGGCGAAGTTCATTCCGCCAGGCGCATTCCGCGCAAGGCATTTGGGCAGAACGGACGCCGCCGCGACGTTTGTTGGGGCCTGTTTCGGTGCAGCCTTGTGCGACGGTGGCTTCGCTGCCGGATCATCTGGGGCGGGGAGACATAGTCTCCACCCTCGGCGGGCGACGGGTACGTTCTGCGGCCCTTTTCATCGGTGGAGTTCTTGGTCAAAGGGCTTCATTGGTGAGTCGCCTGCTGGGCGGGGGCCCTTGGGCCCAACCAGCCTGGTGCCGGCCGTTGCTCCCAGGTCCGAACATTTGGGTGCAATGTTCGGTGCTGCGGGGTAGGGATTTTCCGCAGCACTTGCGCGCGTCGATCCTTGCCGCCCAGCGCTCCCCACGTTCACCCTTCCTTCTCTCCGAACCCTAATCCCAATAAGCACTGATGATGATGATGATGATAATGATGATGATGATGATGATGATGATGATGATGATGGTGATGGTGATGGTGATGGTGGTGATGATGATGATGATGATGATGATGGTCATGACGACGACCATGACGATGGAGATGAGGGTGATGATGATGATGATCATGATGATGATGATGATACAAATGATACTGATGATGTTGATGATGATGGTGATGGTGATGGTGATGGTGATGGTGATGGTAATGGTGATTATGATGGCGATGCTGCTGATGATGATGCTGTTGTCGACTATGATGGTGACGAATGATGGTGATGGTGATGATGTTTGTGATGTTGTTGATAATGCTGATGATGGTGATATTGGTGGTAGTGATCATGATGATGTTGATGATGGCGATGCTGATTATGATGATGATGAAGATGATGATGATGATGATGATGATGATGATGATGATGATGATGATGATGATTGATGATGATGATGATGATGATGATGATGATGATGATGATGATGATGATGATGATGATGATGATGATGATGATGGTGGCGATGCTGATGATGATGACGATGGCGATGAAGAGGGCAGAGGCAAGGTGGGGTAGGAGGGAGGAGGAGGAGGAGGAGGAGGAGGAGGAGGAGGAGGAGGAGGAGGAGGAGAGGAAGGAGTGATGCGGGGCACTGTCTCTTCAAAACGAGGTCCCATTAGCTCAGGATGGATGGGAACAAAGTCTTTCTCAAGCACTGTAGAGGCCTCAGGGGCCTGTGCCGCCGATCCCGGACGCTCAGGGACGCTCCGTGCGAGCTCGTCCTTTTTGAACAGTTCGTGAGCTCCACCTCGAGGAGGTAGCGATTCGATTCGATTTCGTTGGCTTCCGATTCGATTTCGATTTTGTATTTCGGCTGGGGCTCCGACTCCTTACTGGAGGCATACTAGCCTGCTGATTTCCGCCGATTCGACTTTTCCCGACTCGGCTGCCGATTTCCGCCGATCCGATTCATTTCGATTGCAGATCCGACATCGATTCGATTCTGGGCGGCTCTCCTGGGAGGGAGGAGAAGGGAAAAGGAGGAGGAGGCGACGGAGGGTGTTGGCAGTCGCTTCAGGCAGCACGCGTGAAGTGAAATGTTTGCGTCGTGTCCGTCTGTCGAGCCCGATGGCGGGATAGCTCCCTGCAGGTTGGCTCCTTCGTGGGCCGTTGAGCTCGGGTGTCCCGGCCCAGGTTCGGCCCGGGCGCCCCGGCAGGCCCCAGCGCCCCGGCCCCGAACCTGGCCCTGGCCACAGCCCCGGTCCTGGCCCTAGCCCTGGGTTTCATTTCCCCCTCCCCCCGTATTCCGAAATGGGCGGGGAATCGCTTGCGGACCCTGCCATTGAGGCCTTCGGTAAAACGTAGTAGAGGTGGGCCCACATGGGCGCTGGGAACCACATGCGCTCCCCAGGGGGCCATTGAGACTTCCGGTGGAGCTCCCCATGATGGGTTCACGAAGCGAAGCGTGTTAGAGTCAGGAGTGGAAAAAACACACAGACACAATTAATCGTTGACCCCCAGGGAAATATGAGAAAAAATGAGAAGTGGTGGGGAAGACGAAAACAGAGAAAATATAAGAAAATGGGGGATCCTGGGATTTGTGTCTATTTCTTTGTGTGTCCCAGGGCCCCTTTATAGAGGTGCGCCGAAGTGGGGGAGGAACCGCATGCGAATCTTGCCAGTGAAGCCTTCAGTGGAGCTCCCTATTGGGCCATCAAACGTGTGAGGGGTGTGCCGAAATGGACGCCAGCCACCTGGGCCTTCGGTGGAGCTCCACATGGGGCCACGAAACGTGTGAGGGATGTGCGCAAATTGGCGAGGAACCGAACGCAAACCCTGCCAGGGAGGCCGTCGATGGAGCTCCCCATGGGGCCACGAAACGTGTAAGGGGTGTGCCGACATGGGCGGGTAACATCATGCGAACCTTGCGACTGAGGCCTTCGGTGGACCTGCTACGGGATGGGCGGTGAACCGTATGCAGACTTTGCCACTGGGGCCTTCGGTGGAGCTCTTCATGTGGCCACGAAACGTGTGAGGGGTGTGTCGAAGTGGTCGTGCGGTGTGTCGAAGTGGTCGTTCGGAGGACAGGGGCAGGGATGGGAGGATGGGAGAAGGGAGAAGGGGAGGAGTAGGAGGAGGAGGAGGAGGAGGAGGAGAAGACACGGGGCGTTGCTGATTCAAAACGAGGCCCAGCACCACAAGCTGGTTGGGAACAAAACCTTTCCAAACAGTTCGACCTTAAGCCGCCAAAAGCCGAAGGAACTTTACTTGAATTGTACACGGCTGTTAGACAAACACTGGTTTACCCACATGACAGACAACCCACCGAACAACGTTGAAATTCACACACAAGCACACATACCCACACGCACAACATATACACAACACCTAGCACACACATACACACACGCCACGCGACTACCACTCATAATGCATAGAACACGCAGTACCCACACAACGCCCACATAACCGACCCATAATTTGTGAAGAAAGTCGCACAATCCGCGCGCCACCTACGCACACATCAGTCAGCACACATATCACGCTACACGCTTAATCCTCCACTATTTGTTGTATGAGCCTAGGCACGCACGCGCCACTCGTATATACAAACGATGTTGCATTGGTGGAAGTTCGTACGGCGTTTGATAGTGGTGCGAATAGTTGTTTGAGCTGGTATGGACGTTTATCTGTTGGTCAGCCCGCCGTTCGTGATGCAGTGCAAAGCCTGCCCGTTTTCCGAGTCAAGTGCGGCCAGATAGTGTGTTGCGTAATGCGGGTGCGTCATTGTTGTTTTATCGGTGCGTGCTCGTTTAATTCTTGGTTTCGCATAGAGGCATTGGTTGGGGCATTGATTATCCTCGCGATCATCTCAGGATGAGGCCCAGAATACAAGTTGGTCGGTTGTGAGTTATGTATGTTCGAAATGCCTTGCCAGTGATTATTCGGTGCCGCGTGCACGCGCACCAACACGCGCTCAACAAGAAGCGCGTATTGTTTAACAAGATGTCATGGCGTCTCGAAGCCCAGGCTACAAGTGAAACGTTTGTCTATCATTACTTCGTTTTCGAAGTTTAGTTGGCCGTTCCAGTTTGGCTTGCGCCGCGTGCGCGCGCACGCGGGTGCAATGGGAGAATTGTGTTTTGCAACAGGTCATCTTATGTTGAGGCTCAGAAGTGAGTGAACCAATTGGCTTTCACAATTTAGTTTCCGAGTTTTCTCTTGGCAGTTTGAGATGGTTTTCGTTTGGCGTTGCGTGCGCGAGCACGCACGCGCAAACAGAAACTTTCATCGTCTCACAAACTATCATCTCATGCTGACGCATAAGGTACTAATGCAATAGAGTGCGTCGGCCATTGAAGTGTCGAAGCTAAGTTCGCCATGTCCTTTTCATTCTCAGATTGCGCAGCGTTCGCGCGAACGCGCTCGCACGCCAATCAGAAACGCGCCTATGATGCGCAGTGGGTCATGTCATGCTGATGACAAGGAAGCAGTCAAACAGTTGGCGTTCACAATTTTGTTTTCCACGTTAAGGTTGCCTTTCGCTACAGTAGAACTGATAGTAAGGATGATCGACTTCCCAAGGGTACACTTGTACCCCTGCCTCTTCGGCCATCTTTGGTTCATCCTCAGTCACTCTCGATCGCGAGCCCCACTCCAAAAGCTTCGACATGGGCGTCCCAGGCCCTTGCATCCTTACCGCACATCCTTTCTACCAGTTTTGACTGTGTTGGTTTTGACATGGCCCGAGTGCGCGCGCGTGGTGATTCTCTCTGTCGCCTCCTTCCTCCTCTCCTGGCCGCTGCCCTCCTCCTCGCTGCCTTTCCCTTGCGTCACCCGCCCCGTCCAGGTGTTTGGTCTTCAGAGGATCTGCGTGGCGGCTCCCCCGCAGGCACGCAGCGGGCCTGCGTGTCAGCGGGGGCGTCGCCGCGCAGAGCTTCCGAGGACAAGACACGTTGAAGACCAAGCCTTCCCACGACTCAAGCCTGCAAAGTCTACGGTTATGACGTTCCATCCCACTTCAGCCTTGATTGCCAGAGCGAATTCCGAGCACCAAGAAAATACCGAGACTTGGCGGTTTTCACGTGTCGGGCCCTGGGATGCGATATTGGTTCGACACCGTTTCGATCCTTTTCTGGGTGCCAGAAATTATTTCTGGAATGTGGTCCTGGAGTGCATCGGAAGCACCACATGCCCACAGTTTACAGCGCACCGTCCTGCGTTGACGCCGCGGCTCCCGCGCCCGCCGGAGCCACCGGAGGCGCTCGCTCTCGCTGGAGGAGGCGGCGTGGAGAAGGTCGGAGAGCGAGGCGCCCGCCTCACCGCCCCGGGGTCTGCTGCGCCGGCCCCAGGGGCTCCAGGGATCGGCGGCTGCAGAGGGTGTGGCTACGCCAGGGTGTGGTTTGCGATCGGCTCGGCTGGGGCCAGGAGGCCACGGCACTGTCCGCGTCGGGCCTCATCGGGGGCCTCCTCGGGGCGCGGCGGAGAACTCCACCGAGGTCCCCGCTCGTCCCCCGGGGTGCCCCCCAAGGGGTGCTGGTTGCAATCCACACCCTTTGCAAACCACACCCTCCCGAGTCGCCCAGAGGAGCGGAGGCCTTGCTCGCTCCCTTTCCCTCCCTGTTCATTCGGCAGCAAATCATGGGAGCCCGATATGTCCTTTCAATTCCGTATTTAGCGTCGATGAGAATCTGGGGGTCGACGAGATGGAGATGTAACGCCCCTCCCCCCCCCAGTGCGTCCGGGCACTGACGCCGTGCGCATCCAGATCTCCATCGGAGTCCGCATGGGAGCCTGGTCCGCATTTCGAGTCTCATAGGGATCCGCATAGGAGGAGGAGGAGGAGGAGGAGGAGGAGGAGGAAGAGGAGGAGAAGGAGGGGGAGGAGGTGGAGGTGGTGGAGGTGGAGGTGGAGGTGGCGTGGAGAGAGGAGAAAAGAACATCGCATTCTATTATCAGCACTTTTCTGGCGTGGCGTTTAGCTGTCCGCAGCAGATCCTCACCTACATGCTGTTTCTACCTGTCCTGTGCACGCAGGCACTGTGGTGTACACCAGCGCTGCGTGCACCCAGATGCTGTGGCGTAGACAGGCGCTGTGGTGTGCACAGGCGCTGCGGTGCATGCAAGCATTGTGATGTACACAGGTGCTGTGTTGCACATGGTTGCTGCGGTGTTGCACATTCGCTGTGGTGTACACCGGCGCCGTGGTGCACGCAAGCACTGTGGTGTACACGTTTTCTCATGTGAATACACCTGCTTTTTCCTGTTGTTCCTTTTTTTGTTTTTCTCTCTAGTCTTCCTGGGCCCACGGTGCCGCCGTTGCAGATCCCCCACTCTTAAAATCTGTTTGTAAGACCGTTACGAAAGGAATCCCTTTTGTACAGGTTGTTACAAAAGGATTCTCATAGGGGAACACATTGCAGATCCTCCACAAGTAGATTCCTTATGTAAGGTCGCCACATATCCTTTTGTAAAGGCGTTACACAAAGACCCTTGGAGAAGAAGAAGGAAAGGGACAATGAAGAAGAACGAAGACGACGAACATGCATGATGAGTAAACTAGTGATCCAAAGCGTTCTAATCGCCAGGAAACCTAAAACCACTTGGGTTGTAATCGCACGAACGCTGGGTCCTACGGGGATCCCCTCTATTCGTACTGCGCTGCATGCGGTTGCGACTATCGCGGTGCATGCGAAAAGAAGGAGGGGGCCAGCAACAGGTTTGCGGCGTGGGTGGGGGGAAGAGCGGGCATGGGCGAGCGGGGAGTCTTCTTAGTTTCCCGCGAGACCCGGGCACCGCCGGTTCGTGCCAATTTCTTTGACAGCTATTCTTTCCTTCCGTTTGCTTCCGTTGTGCGTCGCGTTCTTGCCCGCCTGGTTCGCGATTGCCCAAGCCGTAGGCGCCGCCGCCTTGCATCCAAATTTTTCCTTTCATGGTTACGTGTCTGCCCTTTGCTCCTCCGCCCAGGCGCGGCCCTGCGCAGAGCGCTGCGCGGAGTTCCCGCGACGCGCGCCGGTCACCCAGAAGGAGCCCTGGTCACCCAGAAGGAGTCCTGGTCGCCCACGGCCCACGGCACGGAGCAAAGCAAGACGTGGCGGCTGACTGCGGGCGAGGCGTTAGGCAGAGCGCGTAGTAGTCGGGCAGCTCCCGGCGGCAGAGCGCAGGGGAGTCCCCGCGACGCGCGCTGGTCGCCTCGAGAGGATTCCAACGACGCGCGTGGGCCGTCCGCGGCGCGAGATGGCCGACAGAAGGCGAAACTCGGGCGGGCCACGCTGCGGCCACGAAGCGCGTGAGGGTTGTGTCAAAATCGGGCCTTCTCCTCCTCCTCCTCCTCCTCCTCCTCCTCCTCCTCCTCCTCCTCCTCCTCCTCCGCCTCCTCCTCCTCCTCCTCCTCTTCCCCCCCTTACCCCCCGCGCGAACCCTGCCATTGGGGCCTTCGGTGGGGCTCCTTATGGGGCCACGTAGCGTGTGAGGGGCCCGTGGTGACATGGACACGCGGCGGGCGGAGGGCCGCTTGTGACCCTGCCGCCCGGCTTTGGGGCCTCGAAGCGAACAAGGGATGGATGTGCCGACGTGAGCATGCTGCGGGCGGGGGGGCGCATGCGAGCCCTGCCTATGGGGCCTTTGGTGGAGCTCCCCATGGGGCCACGAAGCGTGTGAGGGGCGCGCTGAAATTGACACGCGGTGAGCCGGGAACCGCCTGCGAAACCTGCTATTGGGTCCGTCAATGGAGCTCCGTATGGGGCCACGAGAGGTGTGAAGGGTGTGCCGATATGAATATGCGGTGGGCGGGGGGCCGAGTGCGAACTTTGCCACTGGGGCCTGCGAAGGGACTTCTTATGGGCCAGGAATTGTGTCAGGGGCGTGACGACATGGTCGCGCGGAGGGCAAAAGCACGGGTTGGAGGAAGGAGGATGGGGAGGATGAAGGAGGAAAGAGGAAGGAACGGCGGTGGGCACTGTCTTGTCAAACCAAGGACCCATCACCACAGAATGGTTGGGGAAAAAGGTTGCCCCACGCGCATTGCGCCATATTTTTCTCACCACATCGACTACACCACAAACATCGCGCCACATATGTAGCACCACGCATTATGAACGCCCATAGTCCACGTCTAAACAGCAGTGGCGCACCGCTGTGATCTTACGCTGGCGTGAGCGTTGTCGAGGGGGCCCGGCTAATCTTGGCGTCCTGTCAGGATTGCCCAGTTTTGTCTGCGGCAAGTCCTGCCACAGTGCCAACCCAGCATTCTGGGTGGCGGCTGTTCGAGGGGGCGCGGGAGGCCGTCACGTGTGACACCTAGAGTATCCAGGCATGTCAGATCCGCGATGATGGTGGCAATTCTGATTCTGATGGGGGCGGCAATGGTGATGTCGACGACGAGGAGGAACAGGAACCGGACGAGGATGAGCAGGAAAGGGAAGGGCGTCACACGTGACATTTGTTCGTCTTCATTGTTTGGTCAACTCTCATGGATATCGTTCGGGCCGTCGTGTGGCTGTCCTGGCCTTCTGTGAGGCAGTCTTGGGTTTCCCCTGGGGACCTTCTGGGCCGTCCCCGGGCCTTCTCGGGGCTCTCTTCGGCCGTCTTGGGGTTCGCGGTATGGTGGATGCTTGCAGGCCGTCGTGGGGCCGTCTTGGCAGCGTCATGGGCAGTCGCAGGGCCTTCTAAGGCCGCCTTGGGTCCCACGGGAGACCCTCGTGGGCCGTCTCGGGACTGTCTTGGACGCCCTTTGGGCCCTGGCAGGGTCCTCTCGGACAACATTGCGAAGGCCTTACGGCCGGTGCTGTCGACCCTGAGACGACGACGATGACGACGACGACGACGCTGACGACGACGACGACGACGACAACGGCGGTGGCGGCAACGACGACGACGACGTGGGCCAGAGTCCTCAGGGATGGTTCTTGGGGTCTCTTCGGAAGTCTCCCGTGGGCCTCTGGGGAGGAATTTTTGGGCCTCTTGGGGGCCTCTTGGGGGCCTCTTCGGTCTTCCTGGGGACCTTGTCTAGGCCTCTTGGAGCCTGTTGTAAACCTCTTGGGGCCTCCTGGGAGCCTCTTGGGGCCGAGGGTTCGAAATGTCCGTTCGGGTCCCCCGTCTGGGCACGCTCTTGGAGCCGTCTTGGGGGGCCTCGTGGGTCGTCTTGGAGGCGTTGTGGGCTGTATTGGGGTCCTCTTGGTTTCTTTTGGGGCCCTCTTGGAGGCCTCTTGGGCAGTCTTGGGTCGATCTTTGGGGCCTCTTGCGCCGTTTTGGTGCGGCGGGAAGTGAAAAAGGCGAGGACGCCCATTTCATGATGTATAACACACGCACACACGCACACACACGCACACACACACAACACACACACACACACACGCGCGCGCCCACGCCCACGCCCACGCCCACGCCCACGCCCCCCATGCCCCCCCCCAACACACACACACACACACAAACACACACACACAAACACACACACACACACACACACACACACACACACACACGCACGCACGCACGCACGCACGCACGCACGCACGCACGCACGCACGCACGCACGCACGCACGCACACACACGCACACACACACACACGCACACACGCACACACGCACACACGCACACACGCACACACGCACACACGCACACACGCACACACGCACACACGCACACACGCACACACGCACACACACGCACACACGCACACACGCACACACGCACACACGCACACACGCACACGCACGCACGCACACGCACACGCACACCCACACACACACACACACACACGCACACACACGCACACACACAAACACGCACGCACGCACGCACGCCCGTACGCCTGTACGCCCGTACGCACACGCACGCACGCACGCACGCACGCACGCACGCACGCACACACACACACACATTCACACACACACACACACACAAACACACACACAAACACACACACACACACACACACACACACACACACACACGCGCGCGCGCGCGCGCGCGGAAAACAAACGAACTTGGCCTCTTGGGGTTCCTCTCGGGAGCGCTTTTGGAGGCGTCTAGGGGCGTCCTGGAGGCCTCCTAGGCAGTCTGGACGGCGTAAAGGCGTTTTGGACCGATCGTTTATCGATTGGGGATTTTCTTGGACCTTCTCGGCGGCCTCTTGGGGCACTCTTGGCCTGTCTTCGTACTTTCTGAGGCCCCCCCCAGGACCCCCCTCCGCGGGACCCCCCCCCGATTGGGGAGGGATCAAAGGGAAGGGGCTTCACTTCGACTCGATGTACGACATTGCTCGACTCTTTCTCTCGCTGACAAGCTTGAGGAGGAGGCTGCAGTGAAAGGGGACGACGGAGACGACGATTGACGGAGACGACGACTCGAACAGACAAGCCCCTCACACACGCCGACAGGGTCGGGGGATTTGGACCCACGTGGGAGCCTCTTGGGCCATATCAGGGCAGTGCTGTAGGCTTATTGGGCCGTCTTGAGCAGACGGAAGCCCGACACGACTAGAATGCGAGTATCAGTCCAAAAACCATCTAAAAATCAATGGGCTTGGCTTCTTCGGGCCCTGTTGGAGGTCATCAGTGGACCCGTTGGAGTTATTTTGGGATGTTTTTGGGCCATATTCGGCCACCTTGGGGTCATCTTGGCCCGTCTTCGAGGCATATTGGGCCATCTTGGTTGCCATGGCTGCTTGCCTGGGCCGTCCTGGGAACTCGGGACACGGACGCATCGTTGCTTTACGAGGGAGCGTGGTCTCTGGAGCGTGGATCCATCATCGCTTGCTCCAATTATCCTGTGTTGTTGGGTCACCGTTTTGAATAAGCAGCGCCCCGCGTCTCTCCTTTCTTCTCCTCTTCTTCTCCCCCTCCTCCTGTCTTCGCCTCTGCCCTCAACATCCCCCCATCACCATCATCACGCACCTTCTGCACGTTTAGTAGTCCCTTAGGGAACTGCACCGAAGGCCCCAGCGGTAGGGTCCGCATGGCGTGCCCGTACCCGATGTGGCACACCCTTCACACGTTCCGTGGCCCCAGAGGGAGCTCTATCGAAGGCCCCTGCGGCAGGGACCGCATAGCCCACCCGCCACCGATTCGGTACACCTTTCACACGCTTCGTGGCCCCACAGTGAGCTTCATCAACGGTCCCAGTGGCAGGGTCCGCATGGCGTGCCCGCGCCCGACCCGGTACACCTTTCACACGCTTCGTGGCCCCGCAGGGAGCTCCATCGCAGGCCCCAGCACAGGGTCCGCATGGCGTGCCTGCGTCCGATTCGGCACGCCCCTCACACGCTTCATGGGAGCTTAACCGAAGGCCACAGCGCCAGGGTCCGCATGGCGCACCCGCGCCCGATTCGACACCCCATCACATGCGTCGTGGCCTCATGGAGTGCTCAGTCGAAGGCCTCAGGGACAGGGCCCGTCTTGCTTACCCGCACCAGATTCGGCACGCCCCTCACACGCCTCGTGGCCCCACAGGGAGCTCCACCGATGGCCCCAGCGGCAGGGTCCGCATGGTGCACCCACACCCGATTCGGCACACCACTCAAATGTTTCGTGTTCGTGGCCCCAGGGAGCTACGCCAAAGGCCCAGTGGCAGGGTCCTCATGCCGTAGCCGCACCCGATTCGGCACACCGTTGACACACGCTTCTTTGCCCCACCACACGTTTCGTGGTCCCGCAGGGAATTCCACCGAAGGGCCCAGGGTAGGGCATCTAGGACGCCGCAGTCATTTTGCTGGTCCCCCTCCTGCAACTCACCTGCCCCACGAGATTCGCAACTGCATCTGGATGGGGTCTCTCGCCCGGCCAGTTTACGAGGGAACGCGGCCTCGGGACCTGTCCCTCTGCAGGAGGAATATTCAAGCATAGTAAAAAAATAGTCTGGAGGCGATGTTTCGGTCATCTTGGATTATGTTTCAAATTGTCGTCCAAAATCCGCCTGTAGACGCCCCACCTAAGAGTAGGAGGGGCGCGCACCAGTCCGCGGTTAGAGGGAGGGTCCCTTCTCGTAGAACACAGACCTGCGGAGCAGCACCTCGCATTCTGACACGCCCACATCATATCGTGCCCTCCTCCTTCTCCTTCTCCTCATCCTCCTCCTCCTCGGGCACGGTGGCGGATAGCTGACACAGTTTTGCAAGGAATCCCTACCAGACCTTCTCAGCTCAAGGGCCAGTGCCGTCGCCAGGCCCTCGCCCACTTGAGACTCAGCGCATGCCACTGTGATCGCCGCGGTCTCTTTGTGCCACGTGCCACGGGCATGCGGGAGGGGGTTTTCGCGGCCTCTGCGTGGTGGCCAGGCTGGACTCAGGCGGCGCGCGGTACATGTCAGCAGCAGCTCAGCAGCGCGGCAGACGGGAAGGACAATGGCAAAATGCGAGCTGGGTCTCCAACGGTGGCCCAGCCAAAACTCTCCAAGTGCATCCTCCTCCTCCGCCTCCTCCTCCTCCTCCTCCTCCTCCTCCTCCTCCTCCTCCCTCCTCCCTCCTCCCTCCTCCCTCCTCCCTCCTCCCTCCTCCCTCCTCCCTCCTCCCCCCTTCCCCCTCCCTCGCTCCTCCCTCCTCCTCCCTCCTCCCTCCTCCCTCCTCCCTCGCTCCTCCCTCAACCCTCCTCCCTCCTTCCTCCCTCCTCCCTTCTCCTCCTCCGCCCCCTCCTCCTCCTCCCTTCTCCCCATCCTCCGCTCACGACGTCGACAGACGACTCTCATCGACGGCGGATGGAGACGACCGAAGATCGACGAGGACCACTGCCGAAGACGGCGACGGTCGCCGACTAAGACGACGGCCATCCAAGGCTACGACTGTCATCGACGACGACGACGACGACGTGCCCAGGCGCTGAAGGCCGAGGGCGAAGTCAGCCGGGAGCTGCGGCGCCAGCTGGCCGCCCTGGAGGGCCAGGCGGCGCCGCCCGGTGGCCCCCTTGGGGGGGGGGGGGGGCCTCGCGTCCTCCGCCGCCCGGGGGCCCCCCAACGGGGTGGTGACCACACCGCGTGGTGAGCCGGTGGGGATTCGGCGTCATCCCTAAGGCTTGATGAAGGTGTTTCGCCAATCGACCTGTGGGGATCGAGCCAGATAGATCCAGGCAAATGTGCATGAATCGGGGTCAATCCAGATAAATCGAGATATATCCAGGGGGTAAATCCAGAGATCTCCAGGGGAAATTCTATGTATCGGGCGTTTGGGGCCTCCAGGGTCCCCACACCGAGCGGTTTGAGTCCTTCGATCCTTGTTTTGTGTTTTGTTGTGGTGTGGTGTGGTGTGGTATCGTGTTGTGGTGTGGTGTGGTGTGTTGTGTTGTGTTGTGATGTGATGTGGTGTGTTGTGTAATATTGTGTCGTTGTGGTTTGTTGTGTGTGGTGTGTATGTATAAGTGTTTGTGTATGTGTTTGTGTATGTGTGTTTGTATAGTTAGGTGTGCGTGTGTGAGTATGTGTATGTGTATACGTGTATGTGCATGTGTATGTGTATGTGTATGTATATGCGTATGTGTATGTGTGTATATGCGTATGTGTATGTGTGTATGTGTGTGCGCGTGTGCGTGTGCATGTGCTTGTGCGTGTGCGTGTGCGTGCGTGCGCGTGTGCGTGTGCGTGTGCGTGTGTGTGTGTGTGCGTCTGCGTCTGCGTCTGCGTCTGCGTCTGCGTCTGCGTCTGCGTCTGCGTCTGCGTCTGCGTGAGTGTGCGTGTGTGTGGGTGGGTGTGTGTGCGTGTGTGCGTGTGTGTGTGTGTGTGTGTGTGTGTTTGTGTGTGTGTTCGGACTCCACAGAGGAGCGGTCAGCCGACCCCAAGGGGCAAGCTGACTGCTCTCCGAGAGACGAGTCAGCACCACATAGGCACCGAAGCACACTGGTCTTGGGCCCACATGAAAACGCGACCTGCGCGTAGGCCAGCGGCAACGAGGCCACTTGGGCCCCAGCCCGAGACGCCAGAGGAGCAAGCTCGAGCGTGGGACCTGGGACCCACCTCAAAGGAGGAAAGGGTACCCATACTGCAAATTACCCTGCCCCCGTGTTCCCCTTTTGTCGAACTCCTGGGAGGCCTTCGTCGGCACCGCTGGATTCGCATCGAAGTCCTGGTCGGGGAGTAGGGGTATGGGTACCTTCTGGTTTCCCCAACTTGGGACCCACCCCCGCGGCCACCCTGGCCGCAATACACCCAGCGCCCCTCGGCCGACGAGGCTGGACCATCGCGCCCTCAAGAGCCACCAAGACGCGCTCCTGGGATTACACCCTTGGCGGGGGCGCAACCCCTTGTTGGCCCCACTTGCGTCATCCTAGAGAACCCCTAGCAAAAACTCCAAATATTTAATCGCTTCGCTCATTCCGCCGGCCCATATTGTCGCACCGTTGTGGGCTAGCCGAGTTTTGCGGGCCGTTTTGGGGCCTCTTGGGGCCTCTTTTGGGCCTCTTGGGCGCCTCTTGAGGTGCGAACTGGAGTACGCGTACGTCCTGCCGTGCCTGTGGTGCGGTTCGCCCTGGGTACAAAGGCAAGGGCAAGGTCACGTTCACGCCTGAGCTGGGGCAGTGGTTCCGCACCTCCTTCCCACCGGTGGCTGCCAGGCCTTGGCGTGCGGCCGCGGAGGCCAAGGCGCCTACGGCTTTGCAAAAGCTGGAGGAACGCAGGAAGGTCCTGGTCCAGTGTGCCAAGGACTGGGGGGGTGACGCGCCTCACCTCGACCAGGCGGTGGCCGACATCGACAGGCAGTTCCAGGACGCCAAGGCGGAGCGCACGCAGGCGAAGCCGTTGTCTGGCCAGCTGCGTGAGGCACAGGTCCAGCTGGGGCAGATCGACAAGCAGTTTGAGCGCTTGGCCGAGACCGAGAGGAAGGCCAACCAGATGCTGCTCGAGGTCAAGAAGGAGAGGGATGAGGCAACGAAGCGCAAGGAGGAGCTGGCGACCACGATCCTGGAGCTCCAGGGGAAGATTGCGGTGGCGGGCCCAGTGGCCCCAGCCTCGAACCTCGACGTCATCCGAGTGCAGTTGGAGTGCATCGCCAAGTCCGTCGGCAGTGACATCCAGTCCCTCGGCCTCGATTTCGCCACGCTCGAGTCCCTCCTGGAGGCCAAGGCTAAGGAAGGGGCAGCAAAGGCTGAGGCTGCTAATACTGGTGCTGCTAAGCAGCCTGGTCAGGCTGACGACGGGGGCGGACCAGAAGACGAATCCATGGGGGACATCGCGGGGGCGGAGGAGTTGCCACCAGGTGTCACCGAGTCTGAACGTAAGTGGCTCAACGGGCAGGAGCCAGTGCCCGACCAGGAGGAGAACCCGCACCTGTTCAAGCGGTACCAAGAGGTGCTCATGTCGGTGCACTCCTGCCAGTTGGCCAAGAGGCAGCGGAAAGGGTAGGTTGCCGTGCGACCTCTTGTTCCTGGTGCTCAATGGGACCCACCTCGGCTACCCCGAGTCGCCGTGGAGAGGCGCGGTGCAGGTGCAGCTGCGCCAGAGCGGGAAGACCCTCCCTTGGGACGACAGCCGCTGGAACCCTGAGGGGTGGGAGGCGGAGTTCGGGGGGAGCGAGAGTGAAGGGCACCGACGTGACGTAGTGCAGATGGATGATGAGCGAGGCGGGCGCGGAGCAGCGGGAGCCAGTCAGAGGGCGGGAAGTGTGGCCAGGTCCACGCCCGCGGGGCCTGTGCGCGGCCCACGGCCTGCGGCATTGGCGAGGAGTGAGCACGGCGTTTTGAGGGCGGGAAGTGTGGCCAGGTCCACGCCCGCGGGGCCGTTGCGCGGCCAAGAGCCTGCGGCAATGGCGAGGAGTGAAGAATCATGGGAAGGACGAGCTGGCTTGAGGGCGGGAAGTGTGGCCAGGACCACGCCCGCCGGGTTGTCGCGCGGCCTTGAGCCTGCGGCGATGGCGAGGAGTCAGGGGGCAGACTCGGGCCAGTGGCGAGGATACGCGAGGGTCCTGCACGACCACCGCATGATGAGGCTCCTGGTTGACAAGGCGAATGACGACAAGCAGGTGGTCATTGTGTGGACTTTCAACGGCTCGGGTTGGGGAACCATCAGAGAGAAGCTCTTGGAGAAGAAGGTGGGGCCGCAGAAGCACCTCTACGCCTTCCAGGAGCACCGTTTGAAAGAGGACCAGTGGGCTGGAGTTACCCACAGTTTGCGTCAGAGAGGCTACCAAGTTGGTGGAGCGGAGGCGGTGCCCACGCTGGGCCCCATGGGTGAGCCAGGAACCTCTGCAGGAGTGGGAATCGCTGTGCCGAACAGGATTGGCATGGCGTGCGTGTGTGGGCAGACCAGCTGGGACTGGTCCCCCAGAGGATCCCCAGGAAGAGCTGCAGCGGCATGGGTAGCAGTAGGTAGAGGCGGCATCGTGGTGGCGACGGTGTACCTGTGGACGGCCGAGCAGATGTCGCGGCGGAACAGGGGGCTGATGGACCACGTGTTGGGGAAGCTGCACGAGCTCAACATGCCGTGGGTGTTGTGCGGGGACTTCCAGAATGCCCCTGCCGTCCTGGCGGGCTTGGATTCGATCAAGCTCATTGGCGCGACGCTGGTGGCCCCCTCTGCCGCGAGCGGCACCTGTCGGTCTGCGAGTGGATGTTCCACAATAGACTATTTCGTGGTCTCGAGGGAGTTGGCAGGCCAAGTGAGGAAGGTGGCCATCCACGAGTCTTGGCCTTCGGCGCCGCACAAGCCGGTGGGGATCACGCCCGACCTGAGGCCGCAGGAGAGGAAGGAGCGGATTCTCATCACGCCGAAGAAGTTGGAAGGAATCAGCATCGGGCGCGCGCCTGAGCCGCCCGTATACGACGAGGTGGGGGCTTTCAGCGACGTGACGGTGGCGACCAGTACCTGGGCTTCCTTCATTGGCAAGCTGGAGCGCGAGGCTTTCGCGCTGCGGGGGCTGGAGTGGCACCCCAGGCATGAGTGCGCAGGGCGCGCGGGCCCACCGCGCTGGAAAGAGAGAGCGATCCTCAGAGGAGGCGGCAACCACCCAGCCCCGCAAGGAGACGCTCTGTGGTGGCGGTGGCTCGCGCGCACGCTACAGACCCTGGCGGGGAACTACGAGAGGCTCAGGTCGTCTTCGGGCAGTGCCCGTGCGCGCCAGGAGTGGTGCATGATAGCTAGTGATCTGGAGGAACGCTTCAGGAGCGTGAGCCACGAGTTCAGGTGTGAGCTGGTCGGCGAGGAGAAGGAGCGGTGGAAAGAAAGGTGTACCCTGCTGGCGAAAGGGCGCTGGCGAGGTGCTGACCAGAAAGCCAGCCTGGACGCGATGATCCTGGAGGCCAAGGAGCGGTCCAGGCGGGAGGACCAGGCCCTGATAAATGAAAGAAGGAGGCAGTGGGCTGCGAAGCTGGAGGAGGCTGCGAAAGGAGCAGCGGGCGGTCTCCACAGAATCAGCAAGCCAGTGGACATTTGGAGGCCGTGGAGAGCGAGTACACCCCAAGCTTCGGCAGACCCGTTGCGGGCAGCGGAAGCGGCCCTGGGGGAGTGGAACGCCGTCTGGAAGGTGAACGACCCGATGCAGGAGCAGGAGCGGCGGTGGGAGACGGAGCCGCGTCAGGAGTTGCCAGAGTTCACAGTGGACGACTTGGCCAAGTTAAAGAAAGTGGCGCGCACCTTCAAGAAAAAGACAGCACAAGGAGTGGACCGCTGGCACCCCGCCATGCTGCAAGGGGCTTCGGACGCAGCGCACTGGACGCTCCTGCAGATCCTGAGGGAGGTGGAGCGCACGCTCGTCTGGCCGCTGCATGCAGCCACGGTCATTTTCTTCCTGATCCCGAAGAGCGTAGCGGTTGATCGTGCCATCGGCCTCCTCCCGACCCTGGTGAGAGTGTGGGAGATCATGAGGGAGCCCTACATGATCGAGTGGGCCAAGGCGAACCAGCGCTCTTGGGATTGCACGGCCTTCGGCAAGGCGGCGGAGGACGCGGCTTGGGAGGTTCT